TATTTAACAGTTTTAAATGAAGGAAAAAAGTGTATGAATATGTGTAAACATGTTTACATGTATAAATACATACATGTGCATGTATATCAAAGCTTATGTGTATATGCAGTTATAGCAGGAGAAAAGTCAATATGCATTTTGGGCTTAAATATATAAAATGGAGTTAGGGTCTAAGTTCAGATATAATCAATATACTCAGTTTACAATAGTAGTATAAATTAAAATATGCTATAAAAACTATATAAATACCTTTGTATTTATACATAAAGTCTTAGGTTCAGATATTATACATTGCATCTGTCCAAGTATCTAATGCATTTGAAAATGATATGCCAATAGTCTAGTTCTTCCACAAGACTCCAAGGCAACATTAGCCTCATTTGTGATAGCCAGACATCTCCTGCTAAATAAAACAAGAGCTCTGAACTCTCTAAAGGGGGATAAAATGGCCTATTGAGTACCACTTGTATATTATGGCACTTCTGGAAGGGGTGGGATCTCATGATCCATTTAGGCAGAGCTGTGTGAGTAAAACATTGGAGGCCCAATCTTTATATGAATACTGATAACATCCTTTTTCCCTAAAGGATCGAAAGGTAACAGATAGTTCAGTTTTAACACTTGCTTTCTGTTCTGTAGCAACTTCAACTCAGCATTTAAAATAAAATGGAACATGTAGCTCAGTGATAGAACAGGTACTCAGCATGTGTGAGCCCCAGGTTCTGTGTGACCAAAGGGCAGAGGCAGATGATGTGGCATGTGGGAGCCAAATTCTTGGTGGTTGCTTTAGTGTAAACTTCTCAGAAATGGTGGCGAGACGGTGTTGGAGAAGCGAACAAGAAACCAGACGTTGCATGCCATATTGAGGAACTTAATCTTCTTGTCTCATCCAGGAGCCATTAAGTGGATTTGAGCAAGAGTTGAGTAGTATTAGATTTATATTTTAGACATTTTGAAAGTAAATAGCTAGAAAGATGATGATGTTACCTTAGACTGGTTGGCAAAAGGCTGAGAAGAAAGGATCAGCCATCTCACCTGGGCTAGATCTCTCTTGATGATTAGTTCCCCTTAGGAAGTTTAGAGGAAGCTAACTAAGCTGCCCGGTGGACAGATAGCTGTGTGCCTAACAGGATGACGTGTATATTAGAGACAAGATACAGTTTTATCTTGTTATCATGAGAATAAAGCACTGCAGAATAAATAGTGACTTGAGTTCTGCTTATTTGACTTGAAAATGTATGTAACTAGCAAATAGTTGTGTGGATCTAAAGGCTGAAGGCCAGGCCCACAGATGAGAGAAAGAAATGAGATATTAGTGGAGGGAAATTAAAACCAGTAATCTGTATGTGGGAGAGGTCACCCAAAGAACATGTACAAAGTATTGGAAGTATGGACGGAAGTAGGGCTAGGTGAATAAGTAGCAACCCGAGGGAGATCAGAACGGAATGGAAAACAGAGGCATTGAAAGAAGAGTACATCAAGGACCAGGAGGAGGAAGTAATCAGCTGACTAAATGACATCAGGTGATACAAGAGGCAAACCCTCTGGAAACAAGTTCGTTGGGTGTGACAATTGTGTGATTGTGGACAATACCCGTTTTGTCTTTTTGCAAGTATTTGTCAAGAACATGCTTGTGTGAGGATATGTGTAAGCCCCTTAATAAAAGCAATGAAAAGATGTACAGAAGGCTGTCAGTTTGGCTCAGCACTTGATTGCAACTCTGAGGACCAGAGTTACATTTCAACAGCCTTGTAACAACCACAAACTCCCGTAACTCCAGCTCTGGAGTTACACAGTCCTGAAGTTATCTGGCTTCCAACTTTGCCAAGAAAATGAAAGCCTTTGGTTCCAAAGGAACTGAAAAGGACAGGTAGAGACTAGTAGAAGAAGACACAGATCTGCCCTCTGGGCTTATTCACAGAAATGTATGCCCAGCAGACACAATACAAACACAAATATATACATGAACAAATAGATAAATAAAGAGATGTACATGATCTGGACCAGTGCAGACTTTATTAGCCAGGGCTTAAGCAGAGGGATGCAGGTAATTAGCATTCCTGGATATAGAATAAGCAGTGCTGTGCCAAGGCATTCAGAGACCCAGTGCTTTGAATACTGTGTGTCCCCAGAACTTCACTTAGCATAACCTGTTGCTTGCCTTTCACTTCTTAGACCAAGTGTCACCTCCTCAAATAACCCTCTTCTCACCCTTCCCACCACCAGATCAAGGTCCCCCATGAAGTGTTTTTCCCACCCATGCTTCATAGAAATTTTATGGTTTAGGAGATATATTCTTGTCCAGAGTATTATTTTTGAGTACAAAAAATACAAAATGAGAGTAATCCAGACAGTCATGGGACATTAGTGGATGCTCGAGGTCTCAGAGCAGAGGGGAAGGGTTGAGAATGAATGTGAAGCAGAAGAACCTGAACTCTGAGGTTTCTGAGGACATGCCGGCCCAGGCCCCGGGGAGCTACGGTAAAGGAGGAAAGAGGAAGTGGGGGGCTGATTTGTACCAAAGCTCTACACTGTGGGATTGGAAATTAGACAGTGTTTTATTCCTGCTTCAAAGACTTCACTACATCACAAACTAACTGCAATACAAAAGCATGCATAAAACATCCTGTAACAAAAGCGTATCTGAAATCAAATCCATTGGAGACAATTGGAATTATTGGTGCTAGCTTTAAGAAGCTGACTTCACAATAGGAGACACCAAATAATCGTAAAATCAACATCTTATTCATTTTGAAGAACATGTTTGACAGTAAAAGCAACTGATTTTCACACATCTGCTCTTTAGCTTCTGCTAATTGCCTGTCAACAATAAGCTCTTACCCTCTATCCTTGACATTGTCTATTGACTCCCTGCTGGCAACAACAGATACATTTTAGCTTTGTTTGTACTCTGTCTTTTATGCTACAAGGTTGCTTTTTAAAACAGGGTCTTACTGTGCCACCGAAGCCATCCATCTTCATGCCTCAGACTCCCAAGTGCTGGATAACCGGGGTATACTGCTAGTTAGTGTACTTCTTTGGTTACTTGTGTGAGGAGATCTAGTTAGCTGCAGTTCTCAATTTGGCACAGCACAGAATTATTTGAGGCCATTTCATCCGGGGAATTGTTTTGACCAGATTGGCCTGTCAGCATGCCTTTGGGGCCTTTTCTAGATTACTGACTGACATGAGAAAGTTCAGCCCACTGTTGGTGGTGCTAACCCCTGGGCAGGTGCTCCCAAGTTTTATTAGAAAACTGGCTGAAGGACCACACTAGGTTCTCATCTGGAGACTATGACCTGTCTAGCTATAGGTTCTTGACCCCAATAATGATGCCAGGTATGGATTTCATCTTGTGAAGCAGGATTTAAATTCAACCTTGTTTACTTTCATGACATCCACGGCACCATTGTAATGGTGGTCATGTCTTGCCAAGCCATCATTACTGTACTCTCAAGGCTGACAGCTGGGTAAGACTGATAATTACCTTTCTCCTCCATCCATAGCACCTTGCAGCACTCTGAAAATCAGCTGGTAGGAATAAAGCTTCCTAGACCCGGCTTGATCTCTGCATGTTCTGTGATTCAAGTATGTAGGATGTTTAGCAATACGGTCTTACCATCAAGTTCTGGAGGGTAACAAAAAGAATCGCAATGTCTTGTGATGTTTGGGGGACTCTGGGACTTCACTGGCCAATACGTCCTGCTAAGTGGACATAATTCAGCAGTTCATACAGACTCACAGCTGTACCTGTAGGTTAGTGTATTTCCGAAACCTCATCACAGAAGCTGCCTTTTGCAGTCTTTGTAGAGTGCTTGGAGCACTGCAGTTTCTAAAGAAATTTAGTTCTCTGCTTTTGTAGGTCACCCATGCTATTGCTGTGTTCTCTGGACAAAACCATTAACTGTCTCCATTTCAGTGTTGCATAGAGTCCAGAAGTTGGCAGTAGTTGTTAAATATTTAGCAGATGATTTCAAACATACCTTCTCCTAATGCCTTGGCAGCTTGAAGAATCAGAAATGGTCAGGAGCACTTTGGCCCATGTTGTGTTTTGTCTTTTACCTTTTTTTTTTTTTTTTTTTTTTGAGACAAGGTCTCATGTAGTCCAGGTTATCCTTGAGGTCTCTCCATGTGATGGAAAATGGCCTGGAACTTCCGATTCTCCTGTCTTCCTGTCCTCTAATGGCTGGCTTTACAGGCATGGGTCACCATACTCAGTTTATGAGGCCGTGGGCATTGAATCTGGGCTGTATTCCCAGCCCTGGTCTGAGTTATTTCTTAGCGCCATCTGCAGGATGCATGGCTACGATCCCATAAGTATTGACAAATAGGCACAAGAAGAATGTTCACTGGACCAGGGGCTGAGTTACTAGGAGGCTGTAGAGCCTGAGCTTGGAAGCCTTTATCAGCGCAGCCCTCTCTTAGGTTTTCCCAGTTTTGTTTACAATTTACATCTGTTCTCAAAGAGAGGCTCTAAGATAATTGATAGGCCAGCACAAAGCCTGTATCCACTGCTATCGGGCAGCTTATACAAAAAGAAAACTGTGTAACTGTAAAAGGATAAGGCACCAGTAGCAACAGTCAACAGCTTTAGTTTATTGCCCAAATCGTGATGCAACATAAGTACTCATATGCCCTTAACTACACACTAAGTCTGTGTACCTAAGGAAAAAGAGTGGAGTGGCAAGTGAAATACGTAAAGTTGAGCTGTGACCATGACTCACCTAATGAGAGTCAAAAACAACCTCTGGCAGGTTATAACGTTTCTAAGTATGTTAAAGTGTTTACCAGCACACATGTCCCAAAGCAACATTACAAACTTATAGTGGTAAAAATTAATATTGGGAATATTTTAAATAAAAATATGATTATAAACAAATTGAAAACTTCACTTCAGGAATGCTACACAAGACTTTTAATTGGGTAAACGTTCTGAAATATTTGGCATTTTACTCTTTAAACACATTAATTGCATTTCTTTCTCTTTACCCTTTTTCCAGATCCATATCCAGAGAACGGAAGGATGTGACCATATGACTTGTTCACAGTGTAACACTAATTTTTGTTATCGATGTGGAGAGAGATACCGCCAGCTCCGGTTTTTTGGAGACCACACATCAAACCTCAGTATATTTGGATGCAAATATCGCTACCTCCCAGAGAGACCTCATTTAAGAAGATTAGTTCGAGGGTCAGTCTGTGGTGAGTAGTGTCACACACGCTTGTTCTTGGGTGTTTAGGACCTGAAGAGTGTTGGTAGAAGTGTCCCCGCCTTGAGAATTCTGAGTGCTTGCTATATGACAAGGATTCTAGTAGGGCCTTTACCAAAATGTAGGAAGAGAGTCACTCCTTTTGTGGACAAAATTGAAAAGTTGAGTTTGTTCATAACACTCTGCATTGCCACCATTTCTGAAACACTGGGTGTGAACCAATTGGTGACAAAGAGAGTGTCATACTTATTTTTGTATGGACAGTAACAAACATCTTAAATACACAGATGCTCTGTTAATTCATTACATAAGCACGGTACAGCACTTAACAGGGAACAATGATGAACAAAACATACACACACCCCAGGACCCTATAACAGAATTGTATAATACCTATAGAAATAATATTGTCATGTATCTTTGTCGTTTTGTTAGTAATCAACAACTAATCGGACAATAGAATGAGTATGAAAGCTCCCAATTGCGTATAAACCCACGTCAGTTACCCAGATGACTGCTTTAACCCCCTCTTCAGAAAACACACGTGCTCACACACGTACACTGTGCAGACAGAGACATAAATACCTGCTCCTATCAAATCACTCGGGCCGCGTGCCCTGCCTTGGTTTCTGCAGTTCTTCTGACCTCATCTGGCTTCTCACATTAGCTCCCCCCGGGCAGTGTGTCCAATGTGAGATTACCTTCCCTTTCTACAGCATGCTGCTGCAGGGCTGCTTTCTCTGACAGGCTTTCTCCTGGGTATCCAGCACTTTTCAAACATCCAAACGTTTTGCGTCTTTCCCACCCACTTTGCCTAGTTCATGGGAATGCCTTTGTGACTGTCCTCAGCCATTTCACTGCTGTGACTCACTCCTCTGTAGAGTTATGATGGCTGAGTAGAGAAAGATTGGTCTGAGTTGCAGACTCTTCATTTTAAGTATACTCTAATATGTGGAGACCAGAGCCACCACTTTCTAAAACGGTGCATGATCACTGAAAAACAAAAACAAAAAAAACCTCTCAACTAAATTTTAATTAAACACACTATTTTTCCAAAGTCAACACCATCCAATAGTCAACTGGTTTTTGATACTTTTCAGTATCTTCTGTTCCTTTATTTGCTTGTTAGGTGAAAATTATGATGATAAAATCAGTGTCTGCATGCTGCTTTTATGAACTTTGAAGCTAACTAAGAAATACAGACAGTATTTGTAAGAGTCATCCTATGAGAGAAAATTGCAAACAGAGTTGTGAGTTCTGTTGCATCTGTAAATCTATATATAGAGAGAACAGCCTCAGACAGAAAGCTCATTGCTTTTTGTGACTCTTTTTGTTTTCCTGTTTCACCACCATCTTGAATTTTGTTGGTGTGTGTGTGTGTGTATGTGTGTGTGTGTGTGTGTGTGTGTTTGTATGGTCTCTCTGGTATGCAGATGCATGTGTGTATTCAGCTACAACACACACATGTACATTTAATTAAGCCAAGATAAACCTGACACTGTAAAGAGCAGCTGGCTTAAAATAAGTTTCCCTCCCACACATTTTCTGACCACAACTGTCACTAGTTGCTTATGATGGTTAGTTAGTTCAGTTGTCAACTTGACACAAGCTAGACACCACTCCCCCATTGGAGGGGTCCCCATCACTCTTATCCAACTAAAACAGAAAAATGAATTACTATTACTCTGTAGCCCCTCAAATTACTTACTGCTTCCATATGAGAGAGGATATGGTTTACAGCTTAGTCCTCACATCTGTCACCCATGTGAGTTCCTTTAAGTGCCCTTGGCCAGAGGCGGAGCAAGTACCTACACGTCCATCACAGCTGAGGATGGGAAACTTGGTCTTCATTCCCTGTGATCACATAACAGCTAGAGCGCCCAGCCAGGCACTTAGCGATGTTCAAGGAGTGGTACTTTGGAGTGTTTTTCAAACTTTCTAATTATGTATGTTTATTTACTCTGTATATGGATTCACTGCCATTCGTGTGTGTATATGCCACATCTGTGGAAATCAGTTTTCCCTTTCTACCAGGAGACTTGTAGGAATCAAATTTAGGTTGCTGGACGTGGCATCTTTACCACCTGAGTCATCCTGTGAGCCTCCAAAATTTGAAGTTTGAAATTACATAATTGTTAAGGATAATTCTTTAACTTATCTCTTCATAGCAAACAATTAGTATGAGCAAGAGCAATGGAATCTCCTCCAAAAATTCTTTTGAAAAATACTTGATTTAAGTTAGAGACACAGGGGGCCTAAATAGAGGGTTCAGTAGTTAAAAACTCCTTCAGAGGCTCTGGGTTCAGTTCCCAGCACCCACGGACATGGGTTGGGCTACAACTGTCTGTAACTCCAGTTCCAAAGGATCCTATTTCTTTAAAGGGAAAGAAACAGTAGCAGGCCTGATGATGCACACCTGTAACCCCAGATCAATGGAGTTGGAGGCAGAATAACCAGGAGTTCAAGGCCAGATTAGGCTACATAGTGAGTTAGAGGCTGGTTTGAGCTACTGAGCAAGACCATCTCAATTTAAAGAAGCTGAAAGTGGATTTAAGGACATCACATAAAAAGAGGTCACTGTCAGAAAAATGTAAAGTTTAAAATGAATTACTTTGAACTTTTGACTAGTATGCAATTGTCATTAATACTCAGTGTTGAACTTTTATAGTCTACAGAATGCACTGAAATTTTTGATCAATTATTTTCAAAGGAAATATAGAACTATGATGGCATAATAATGCCCATGGAGAAGTTTTACATTTTCTGAAAGCTGAAGCAGGAGGATCATGAGTTCAAGGCCAACCTGAGCTGTATCACCAGATCTTGTTTTAAAAGAGGGAGTAGAAGCCGGGCGGTGGTGGCGCACGCCTTTAATTCCAGCACTCAGGAGGCAGAGTCAGGTGGAGTTCTGAGTTCAAGGCAATGAGAGAGAGAGAGAGAGAGAGAGAGAGAGAGAGAGAGAGAGAGAGAGAGAGAGAGAGAGAGAGAGAGAGAGAGAGAGAGAGAGAGAGAGAGAGAGAGAGAGAGAGAGAGAGAGAGAGAGAGAGAGAGAGAGAGAGAGAGAGAGAGAGAGAGAGAGAGAGAGAGAGAGAGAGAGAGAGAGAGAGAGAGAGAGAGAGAGAGAGAGAGAGAGAGAGAGAGAGAGAGAGAGAGAGAGAGAGAGAGAGGAGAGAGAGGAGAGAGAGAGACACGCTGGGCAGTAGTGGTGCACACCTTTAATCCCAGCACCTGGGAGGCAGAGGCAGGAAGCTCTCTTGAGTTTGAGGCCATCCTGGTCTACAGAGTGAGGTTGAGCCAGAACTCCACAGAGAAACCTTGTCTCAAAAAACCAAAGGGGGGGGGTAGTGAAAGAGGAGCATAGGAAGTCTACACTCCGAAGGTTAAGGCATGGGATTAAATTCAAGTCCAACATAGGCTACCCAAAGACCCTCTCTCAAAAGAATAAATAAATAAAACAGTTGATCTAGATAAGCAATCAATGGTTTTTGTGTTAACATTAAATTAAATAAAATTTTAAATTTAAAATATAATTATGGATGTGAAAAAATATATTTGACTATTAAAAATGATGTTTTAAGACATATGCTTGCTCCAGTCAAGGCAATCTGAGAAGCAGACTTAACTATGTCCTACACTGTCCAGTTTATTGCCCCTAAAGGGTAGGCACGACACATGCTTCTTGGATTCATTGATGTTCGGGAGGGAAAGGTCAGTGTTGTTATTTGACAGTCAGTCCAGTTGCTAAGATGAAAATGTCTTGGTTACTTTAGGAGGAAATACCACTAAAGAGACTGAGCTGTAGGGGTTTGGGGAAGAAAAGCAGACTCTTAATGTAACCTGGATACTGCATTCTAGTCTTCACTGTGACTCTATGGGTGGACAGGCAGTTGTCCAATGAGATTTAGTACTGCCCAGCTGAGTTTTGTCATTGGTATAAAGCAAAAGAGAAACTCAAGACGGGGCATCATGTTAAGCTGACAATATATAAATTTACTAGATAGTAAACTATATTCTTAATTGGATATTTAAAACGGCATTTTTTCCATATCTAGTCATCTAATTCCAAAGACTATTTTCTATGAATTAAAAAGTTAATATTTTTCTGCCAAATTCCCAACAAATGGCTGTTTATCTTTTCTCATGTAATTATTATCCTCCTTCACGTTGCATAAGTGACGGTGTGATTCTACTACAGACTTCCTGTTCCTCTCACACTCTGTGGAATTTAGTTTGTAGAGTTATGTCATGTGTTCAAAGGTTGCAGCACAGTAAAAAGACAGAAGTAACTGTCCTGGTTTTGTCTACGTTAGTGCCTTTCAAATTCAAAGGGATTCCACTGGTGGTGGCTTCTTGGCTTCAGTGACATGTGACAATAGTGATGATTGTCACAGATCAGTTATTCATTCAGAAGAGAAGTCAGCTGGTGTTGCCAAATGTGGCATCCCTCCCAGAAGCAGGCCTTCTTACAAGTGCTTCCTTTCAAAGTTTGTGACAATGATTCACTTGAATAACTTCCAACACATCATTTATTCAATGGTCATTTTCTACAGCAGTTGTCTAAGGCATCCCATTTGGAGCTCACTCTATTAGATGTTCATATGATTTCCCCTCTTTACCCAACAAGTAAATAAAGCATTTTTCTTAGACATGGTCTTGGTCAGATACCCGGTGTGGTCCCTATCAGCTCTCCAATGTTGTGAGCTCAATAGATTGTCTGCTGCATGCTAGACTATGCTACTCCTTTCTTAAGCTTTCAACATTTTGAATATTGAAGGTAGAGGAAATCTAAAGGAAAAATACAAAGAAGAGTGTGTCAGTATAAAGGATTATAGTCTTTTTGGTTGTAAAGAATAAATGACTTGTAGATGTTTGGCATGTGCCCAGGACTCTGTGGCACCGTGTGCTTCAATTCAGTGATGAATTGCATGTGTGTGTCAGTTCTACATATGCCTCTAATTGTAATACTTCTGTAAAGAATTATTGGAAGTGCACGGTAAATCAGCTTTGAGACTCTTTCAATTATCTTGATTTTATTTTCCAGCTGGAAAGCTCTTCATTGCTCCTCTCATCCTGGTTTTGGGATTGGCACTAGGGGCCATAGCAGTTGTAATCGGTAAGAAACACACGACATATTTAAGATTAGAATTCTCCAGAAGCAGTAGCAATGATAGCGTGTATGTAATGGTATGAGTCAGTGAGTGCATGAGCATAGTTTCTTCTCTCTGCCTTTCTTTAAACAGCCATGTAGTACAGGGTGAATAAGGTCAGGGGAACATGTTTCCAACAGGTATGTTTATGAGACTCTTTAATAGATGAACATATGTGTTAGAGGAGTAGCTCCCAGACTTAGCATGATGTAGACTAGCCTGGAGAACTGATGAAAACACTCACTGATAGACCCTACTCTCAGTGTCTAACACAGTGTGGTGGCTGGACCTATGGATCTATGTTTCTAAAAAGTTCCTAGATGTTGTTGATGCTGTTAGCCCACGGGCCACACTTTGTGAGGCATTGCTTTAGAAATTTCAACTTAAATGTTCTGGATAAAAACTATTTTTACCATTATTCCCTATATAAAATGGAATGCTTTTGCTGAACTAAATGATCTTCCACAAGTAAACTTCTCTTTATAGATAATGAATGTGTGGGACAGATAGAATTATAAAGTGTCTCACATTCAAGTCATTTTAGTCAGTTGGAACTTTATACAACAGATGTTATTATCTCAAGTAGAGGGAATCAAGTCTCATTAGGATCTCAGAATTGTCAGAATGGGAACCACACGTATGTTTTTAAATAAGATGTTATACTGACCAACAGTGAAACATGAATATCATAGTGTGTAAATTATAGGATTGTGACAAAAAAACAGCGACATAAAGTTAGATGGTTTGCTACAAAACATTTTTTTTAGAACTGGTATAACTGAGGGTTAAAAGGCGGACAGAGGTCTACAGAGAAATAGAAAGAATGAAATCTTGTAAAAAAAAAAAACACGTCCTGAAGTATTTTTATGTTTGTGAATCTTTAATAATAACTGTTATAATTTGCATATAAGTAAACTTGGGAAATTTGAAAGAACACCCCCATACACACACACACACACACACGCATACATGCCTCAGCATTCCCACTCTAATTGCCTTTATTTATTTTTTTTAATTCCCAGGTTTATTTGTATTTCCTATATATTGCCTTTGTAAAAAACAGAGAAAGCGATCACGGACAGGTATGCACTGGTGATCCACAGAGGGCTTCCCGTGACATCAACCGGTACCAGGGGAGGCTGTGCAGGATGATACGTCATTGTTGAGTCGGATCCCTCAGAACACCTAGAGGAACTTCTGCCATCTTGTCTCCTGTGGTTCTCTGCAGGCCACAGTGCCTCTAGCTACGGTGCACTCCCAACATGGTATCCTGTCCTTCCCTAAACAAATTGCTGCTTTAAAAAAATGGTCACTTTCATTTAATTATAGACATTTATATAGCAACTCTGACCTTTGTGGTTCTTGGAAGAAGATATTTTGAGAACAGGGTATCCTCAGTGTGTTTGAGGGCACCTCACGGGGTATTGCTTGGACTGTCTGAACCGTGTGCTTCCCTCCAGGCTGTATGTGAGACTTGGTGTGCATAGCTGAAGTCCTGTCTGTCCCAGCAAACAAACAAAGCCACTTTGCAGAAGATAAATCACAGTTCACCAAATGCACCTGTTACCATCTGTAGCCCAAGTCGTACTATTCTTTTGTTCTTTGGATGCTGTAATTGCTTTTAAAAAAACGAAACAACAACTCAGTACCCAGAAGGGAATTGATGAAACTAAATTAATGAGAAGAACCATGAGTTACTGGTGCGTATGTGTAAGGATGTGAATGTGTGTATATAAACATGTATTAAATCAGGCTCCATAACTGTGTGCTTGTCCATTTCCATGTCTATTTTCATAGAACCATTCAGCCATGAGGCTTCCTTTCATGGGCCTAACTTGGTAATGTACTGAATTAAAGCCAGTGTCAACATCAGGTTGTTTCTGTGGTAGCCCTGTCTGTTTCTTGCTCTTCCTATGGTCACACACACACAGAGATCTGTGCGATGTCACTCCAAGGTTTCCCAAACTTTGTAAACTGACAGAAGTGAAAGGGTGGCTTTAGAAAGTCCCCAAGTTTCCAATGCTTGCTCTTTCAGGATTCCCTGGATTTGGGCATGCATACTTTATCCTGTTGATACAGTCCTCCTGGGATAATTTAATTAAAAAATTTTTTTTTGCTTTGAAGAAAAGTGCTTAAACTTTTAGTTCCTATTCTACTCATTATTTAATTACCACCCTATAATTCTAGATCATTCTGCTTTAGGTCCAAGTTTTAAAAAAGTTATTTGATGCTTCATTCCTTCCCTCTTTCCTCTAGTTTTTTTTTTTTAATTTGTCCCCAAGTTGTTTTCTTACAAAAATAAATACTAGTTTTGAGGAATTTTATCTGTGTTTACTACTCAGATTCATGAGTTGTTGATATCTCCTTATAGAGAGATAACTTGAAAACAGATTTTTATGTATATAGTTTCATCTGAAATGTAAACTGCTTTTAGAGAAGGAAACAAATGAAAATATTTTCAGGAAAATGAGACGTCTTCAAGATTAAGAAAATGAAATTTAACTAAACAGTTCTGTTTCCTTGCTTTCACCATGACCTTTATCAAGACGAAGAAGAGATATTAAAAAGCCCGAGGTTTCCAGTCACCTCTAAGTTATCCAAGTTAGAATTTTATCATACGTTACTCTACTTACTATAAATGTAACTGTGTTTGACTTGAAGTAGACTATATGATAACACGCACGTTTACATAGCTATTTCATGGTGTTGGATGCTAGAGTGTAAGAACTTTGTATCCTTGTGTTTGAATGAAAAAAATCATGTCCATGAAGAACAGTCCATGTATAAGCTAGCAAGCTTGTGTTCCCTCTGAACCATAGAGAAGAGCTGGACAACTTCCTGTTAAGTGGTGAGTTTCTGGCAGGAGGAGTGTGCGGCCTGCATGGTTGTGGAATAGCCACTAGACTATGGTGTGAGGTAAGGAACAGTAACTTGGTTTCGCAGATTTCATCTTCCCGTGCCTTCATCCATCCATCTGGCAATTACTGTCTGCTTTAAGTGTACTAGTCTTGGACCAAAAGTGTGAGAACTTCTAGCCCAAATACATGTTTCTATCATAAAGTGCTTAAGTTTTAGAAATTCATCGTTCCTGGATTTGGACATCAGTTTGGCCATGTGTGAGTAGGATGGATCTGTCTGTGTATGATCTATGCACATATCTGTATGTCATACATAAACATGTCATGTTCATACACACCACCTGGGTGAACAGAGACATTCGGGTCTAAGATTGTCTATATTCTTGGGTTATTGTGCCTGTTGTCTTTGGCCTACTCAGGGATTTTTATTCTATTCTTTAAATAACTTATCTTTTACAGGTATTTTTATCTGATTTGAAAATTTTTCCAATATGTGAGTTACAAAGTGGTATTTGTTATCAGGAAAGATTGCTCCATCAGAGGGTAAGGGTGTGCACACTTGAACTGCACAGGCATCTCATTTGCAAGTGCACAGTTTTGTAAAAGAAATGTATGCATTTTTCTCTTTTTAAAGACTACGCAAGTATGTGTGTCCTTTTCATGGTAGTAACTTAAAAGTATTTGTGAATATTTTAGTAAGTCTCCAAATCTTTAAAAAAAGAGCTTAAAAATGGAAAAAATATTTATATATGTCAGTGCCAACTTGAAGGTAGATAAGTAGTGACCTTTATGGTAAATTCTGAAAACTCCTTTACAAAATGAAGTTACATGTTGTGACTTTTTACCCACGACTTGCCTTTATAAGTTACCGTTGTAAATGTATGTATGTTCCTGAAGAAAATCAAACCATATAGAGTTATAAAGTCCAAGTTCCACTGCTTACCTACCCCTTGTTTTTCTAGGGATGACTCTCAATGGTCTGCTACCTGTCCTACCAGCTGCTTCCTTCAAGTGTACAAATACATGTGTGTCTGTATGTGTGCATGTATGCACCCTTGTGTGTTAGTTTTCTACAAATAATGTCCTTTGCTGTGTCTCTTTTTCATGCTTTTAAATATTAGAAAAATGCCTTGCCATAAGTGTTTACATCCATTTGAAAATGTGTAGTCCACTGTAGAGCTATGTTTTAATTGACCTGGTCTTCTGTTGGATGGGAAACAAGATAGTTTTCACTTATCACAGACAAAGCATTTTATGCATGAATATATTTTGTCACTTATTATGACCATTTCCATGGGATTTTGAATTTTACTTTTACTAAGTATTTGTAATAAAGATTGTTAATGCATAGTCAGGCAATGAGATCATGGAAATAATATATTTGAGATCCTATTTGTGAATAAACAGTGTAGAGAGTGCCTAATTTTAAAGCAAAGCATCTTTTGAAAGACTTGGTCCTTGATAGGTTTAGCCGAATACATTGCCAAAATTTAAAAGAGAAAATTGATCTGTTTCCAGTGAAGCCAAAACATAATCAGCTGTCTTCAACAGTGTGAAAGAAGATGAATTAGTTCTTGGATTGCTTACTTTTAACTTCAGTACTCATGTCAAATGATGGTGTATGTCACATTTTCCACAACACTCACCGTGTTCGTGTGTTTCATTTATGAAAGGTAGAAAAGAAAGGGAAGGGATCAAACCCTGTGATACAAGCAACATTCTCTTTATACATTTATGGTCTAGTAGTTAGCCACTTACTGTCTCCTACAAGAACAGACAGGAATACAGTCAAAGATAGTAAAACAGCAAACCTGTTACAGTGTGGTATCTTTTTCTGCTGTGGAATCAAGATTCAGTGGTACCTCTTGGGAAATGCCGTACTCTGTGGAATCCTCTCTTGAGTCTATCTTTTAATTTCACTACCCAGATACATGACCCAGCATCCTCACAAAATACACCGCTGTGGTCATTGTCTGCCCCTATGTGAGTTTCAACTACATTTTTGTCCACACCTCTGCTATTTTCACCCTTAGAGAAGAATAAGTAGAAGCAGGTGGGGGAGAAAAACTCCCCCTTGATCTGTGTAGCCTCAGTGTTTCTTTTCTCAGATTTCAATGTGTCTGCCAACACATCTCCCCTACTGAAGAAATGAAACTTTTAATATCAGATTTTTATGATGCCTGCTGTTACTTATAGAAAAGTCAGTGGCTTACATAACATTAGGTGGCATATAAGTACAAAACTAAGAAAATCCATGTCATGAGGCACTTTAGATGCTAGATTTAGAAACAAACTGTGCACAAAGCCTTAATGTGAGTTGTTCTGTGTCAGTGGCTGAAGTCTATCTCAACTCTTGTTTTATGTTAATTTCTGCCATAATGGTTAGCCTTAAAATTGACACACTTTCCAGTGTATGTGCCATTTAGATAATTAAGTGACAAAACAAGTGACATGTGGTTTTCAGTAGTGAGAATAGAATCATGTCAGAAAATATGTTTATATTCTTCAAATTTATAAGGAACTGGAAGCTTAGAAGTTTATGTAAAGCATTCCTAAATATAGAGAACTATTCCTAATGTTTTAGTAATCCTGGAATTTTTTTTGCAACAATTTTGCTACGTTTAGAACTCATAGCAAATAATGATGCGACATAATAATTTCACTTGAATCTTTAAAATATTAATTCTTACAAGTTTTAACTGTATTTCCATAGTTTGTAAATTCTATAAAAGAAAATTTTCTTGACTAGAAACACAGTAAATAAAAATAGCTGGAGCACATTTTGTTTTTCACCTTACAGCTTAATTGTGTACTTTTCTACAATTGTGGACATTAACCTCCAGAATCACATATTAAAATATGTCTCTGCAACGATCACATCGATTAAACTAAGATACTTGTATAGAAACAGTTTTATCTAAATAAAACAAGAACTCCAAGCTTGAGAGGGTATTTAAGAGTGTGAAAGGTTACTTTTTGGATGCAAACTGATGGAAGCAACTCCACTGTAACTCTTTTGAGAAAAGACTGATTCCCCAGCCAAGTGCTGTATGGGACATCTGTGTGTCACTGTGAGCCTTCAGCTTTCATTGATTTTATTCAGACCCAATAAACAGAGTCACAGTAGTGTAAGACTGTTGTAGTTGTTTATTTAAAGGTTAACCGAAGCATTGATGTGTCACATAGGTTATACGTATTGGCAGTCGTGCAAGCATGTAATCATGCACGTTAGAAAGTATACATTTTTTCTTTCAACTAAAGTGACTGTTTTTGGAAATAATGACTTAAAATGCAAAAAAATTATCATTTTAAAAATACATGAAATATTACCTTTTGAGGGTCATTTCATTATGTCTCTAAAAGACATTTCATTAGTTTATTAGATTATGTTAGACTCATTAACAGAAAATATTTTTTTAGTTTTTTCAGTTCTGAGTCATAGGCTATCACTCTGTTCTCATATGTATAGCAATACACACATATCTCAATACCATGCACCTATCTTTTTTCTTAGTTTTCCAGATAGTCTTGCTTTTTACTCCAGCAGTCCCCTCCCCTTCTCATCTTGGCCAAGTGAAGAATAATTTGTCTTAACCCTTAGCTCTTTTCACTGTAATGCAATGGAGTTCTGTGCTGAAAGGTCTCTAATAGTCAACATCGTTTATCCTAATTGTTATTAGCCGAAATTGATCCAGAGTGCCTGAGACATTTTTCCTGATTCTTGATAGGAGGTGAGGAACTCTTCCTAGGTCTCTGCCAAATAAGTTAAACAAATGAGATGCCAATTGGACCAGAGGGTTAATAATACTCCAGAACCAAACTTCAGAAATCCATGGTGACCAGAAGCTCAATGGACAAAAAAGCATGTAGACATTCATACAACCTGACTAAAAGTCTTTATTCAAAATAAGTTATAGTTATGATTATTGGTCTTTAAGTAAAAACATCTTCTAACTTCAACTTGGGGTGGATTGAAATACAATTGTATGTAAGATGCAGCTATCAATTCCTTGTTCTGTGATTATTATTAGACAGTTTGATAATCTAAAGCAATCACTTTGTCTATAGCCTGGATTGGTCCTACTCTACGGAAACTGCTTATCATTTGTAACCAGTCAAATATTTTAATTACTTGGATTTATACATAAGCCACACTCAAGATGTATTTACTATAGGTTTACAATATACCAAAAAAGTTCAGAGAGTAACACTTGGGTATTAAATTACCCCCAGGAAGTACAGAAATAGTGTCACTTTAGGTTTTCCTTGTAGCTGGCAGGCTGTGCTGTAGTCATTGGGTTCTTTCAATGTCAAGGAAATGTCACCTCATTTGGTGGCTAGGAATTTGCTAGCTAGGGATATTTTCTTCAAATTCTAGTTAAATTCTTTGTTCGTCTGAGTCAGAGTTTTCTCTGTGTAACAGACCTAGCTGTCCTGGAAATCACTCTGTAGACCAGGTAGACCTCAAACTCAGAGATCCACCTGCCTCTGCCTCCTGACTGCTGGAATCAAAAGCATGCACCACCACCACCCGGCTTCTAGTTAAATTCTTAAAAGTACCAATTTTTCATTAGCATCACTTCCTCTATATCTAAGTATACTGTTTCAAATACATAGTATGTTAATATCTGATGCACGTATCTAATTTTTAGCCTATAGAAAATCAACATGCTTTGTTTCTTTACGGAGAATTCTAGATATAATATTATCGGCTGATAATTTTATCAGCTTACTACAAATCGTTTCTCTAGTGCCCATTTTTTTAAGTTACAAATGGTAACTCCTCAATAGCCAAGTATTTATTATTGATCATTTCATCACAATTAAATTTCTAATGAGTTTATGTACATATACACATTTAGACACCATTTGCCAAGGCCAAAACAATCAGTCACAGATTTGTATGAAAATTAAAAGGCCTGCAGGTAGGGCACTTGCCAAGTAGCCAAGTGAGAACCCTTGGCCTGGGGTCAGCTGGATTTGCTTTCAGTTCTTCCTCAGTCAGCAGTGATGCCTTTGAAAGGTTCAGGTCTACTATAGTTTTGTTTTGTTACCTTCTCCGTCTACCCTTTAAAAAGTGGTCCATGGCGAAATGCAGAAGGCATACTGAATGTGTCCGACATGCACCAGGCAACCTGCTGCATGTGACTGTGATGACCTGTCATCCTGTGTTCCTCTCCAGCCCTGGCCTCCTTTGACATGATACAGTTAGGGACTTTAATTTAAACCTTTGTTTGTGTTACTGTTGCCCTCTGCATACACGTCTCTGCCACCTTCTAATAAAGGCACTCTTTTCTCCTGGGTGGGAGGGGGGTTAGTTGGCAATCTCCTTACTTTTGAAAAAAGTTGCTAATATACTAATAAGTAGTACATTTTTCAGTCTTGCAAAAATCTAGTCAAAACAGCAGCATGGCTGGGCATAGTGGCACAAGCCTTTGATCCCAGCACTTGGGAGGCAGAGGCAGGCAGATCTCTGTGAGTTCGAGGCCAGCATAGTCTACAGATTGAGTTCCAAGACAGCCAGAGCTACATAGTGCGACCCTGTCTCAAAAACAAATAAAAACATTCAGCAGCATGAAAATGTTGTTAAGTTTATTTAAAAGTCACAAGTTTTTGTTTGGCTTCTCTTTTAAGCCAAATTGGTATGACGTTTTCATGAAGCAAATATATCTTTTACTTGTCTTGGAAATCTGAAGGACAATTACATTATCCATGTTTTTCTTACAGTCATAAAATGCTAAAAAATAGTTGTGATTTAAATCTCTTGCTATTGCATATTCAGAAATTGATGTTCTAATGAATAATTACCATCTCCTATTTAGTATGAGACTATATCCCATTTTAATTCTGTTCTCAGTAATAATAGCAAGTGATGATTAATTTCTTCATCTTGCATTACTGAATTGTACCAGGTCTTGTCACTTTCCTTTTACTGCACAGTTTAAATTTTTCTGTAAACTCTGTGGCCCCTTTCCAAATAACATGCCATAATGTTTTTCATGTTGAAAATGAGCATTGTTGAAAATGTTATATCTTTAATTTTTTAACTGTTTCTGCATTTCAGTAGTTGTACTGCTAACTTGTGATCTTCATAAAGAACATGGAAGAAGCCATTCTGAACATGTTTTTAGGAAATAGGCAGGTAGAAAAAACAAAATAGATGCCATTGATACCCTTAACTCATTCCTGAAAAGCAATTGGAAAGGAAAAAACAAAAACAAATTCTACCAAAATTAAAAAGTTGAAAAACAAGGGTATCAAAAAGACCTGATTTCTTATGCTGTTGAAGCAATCAACTTCTAGGTGAGTGTTTTATTCTGTTGGTCCATGAATTGTGCACAGTGTCTACTCTCATCACTGTGGTGTTGGTATACAAATTACTGAAAAGAAAGAAAAAATTAGTGAAGAAAGTCAGGGAAATGAAACCTTGATTTCACTCTCCAGTAGCACTAACCATTGTACAGTCCCAACCCTTCCATATGGTGCTTGTGTGATGATGTAACATTTGTGTATGTTACTAGTGCCTTATTTCTTTACGTGAGCCATAAATTTTCTGTGAGTGTTCTTTGATCCATCTATTTAAAGCATGCCCATCAGTTGTCTTTATAGATGTCCCTAGCCTGCATTTGCTACTGAATCTACTAGATTGTCTCTAGAAAAATTAATTAGATGTATTTTTCTCAAGCATGTTGCTTGTTGTTAAGCTTTATCAAGAAAATGAATATTAAATACCAGAAATTTAGGCTAATAGAATTAATTTTTATTTTTAAACCACAAAAGAAAAGAAAGTTGAATACATTGGAAACAGTGTGATGAGCTTGTCAGCAACTCCAATTAGGGTAAAACCACAAAACTTTACAGAGAGCATTAAAAATTAACATAACTGTGATACTTTAGAAATGTGATCATTTCTCCACAACTTGTCTTAGACAATATTTTGTCATTAAGTTTTGTATAGATGCCAAAAAGAAAACAAATAGTTGTCACATCTTACACATTGTTCATTCCCAGTGGACTGTAGCAACTTCAAGCCATTCTGTGTATCATTTGCTCTTCAAGGTCTGTGCCTTTTATTTTGTGCTATACAAAATACTGGTTTTGTTTATATATAATATTTCAAATATTCATGATGAATGTATGACAAATGATTAAAATAATCTAGGTACAAAGACAAGACAAAGACATGGATTGTATATGGAAATGTATAAATATTTGACAAAGAAGAGAAAAAGAATCTTCCTGCCAATGGAAGGGCCTGGAAATTAACTTTTTGTTTTTTTTTTTTTTAAGCAATGGAATTTAGAAATTCATTACCTCAAGAAATTATAGTGGATAATATGTGTCATATCCACTAAAGGACACATAGCATGTTCCTTCTGAAGAAGCACTATCTCACTTGTGACTGATAAGAGCAACACAAGTATCACATCATACAAATTGTAGGGACAAGTCCTTGAGAAGATGAGTGGGTACCTTGTGGGAGTCAAGTTACAGGCTTTCAGTAATGTCCCTGTATCCTTTTGTTGTGGTTTAAGAAAATTATTGCTATTTTGGGTTGATTGTTTTAAACCAGGAGGATAACATTAATTATGATAATCAGATCTCATAAGAAGATAAAGACATTGTCTGGATGAAGCTAATGGAAGTCAAATGACTCCAATTGTCACTGTGTGTATAGTGTAGATTACTGTGGAGTGCTATTTACCACACAATGTGTGCAGAGCATCACCACATCATCATCTAGCAATGCCTAATAAAAGTTTTTAAAAGAGAAGACTCTTGTCTTTTTTTCCAGTAGATTTTGATTCTAAATGAAGGCAAAGTCAACACCCACATATTATTAATTAACTTGGAATTATTGGAGTATGGATTATTCTCTTGACTGAAGGAGCAAAATAGAAATTATTATATCAAATATACATGTCTATACCCTAGCAATTTTTTTCTAGTCCTGTTGCCTGAAATGGGGTATTTGTTGAACAAAGAACATGTACATGATTTCTATGAGCAGTAAGATTGATAAACATATGGTGACACATTCATACAATGAAACACTACAGAACAATCAAATGAAAAATAAATGACTGAGAAATCCATTCCAAAAGAGCTGAATTTCACAGATATCATGCTGTATAAATTAAGCCAGACACGGAAGTGTAGTGTAGAATAACACTGATCAAAACCAGACAAAACCAATCACTGGTCAAAAGGTAGTTGTTTGGGGGTTGGGGATTGTTGAGTGGGGGGGAAAATGAAGAAACTTTTTGGTATAGTGGAGTGTGTGTCTTCAGAATGTATACATATATTAGCTGTTGTGTATTAAAATCTGGACAGTTTAAGCATATCTTGAATATGTATTATACTAACACTTGAAAGAACAATGGAGGCGGAAAAAAGATAATCTGGAAAATTCCAGAAGAAAAAAAATCACCCATAATCCCAGATACCGATAAAGGTGACTTTGATAGGACACCTGCTGAAATGTAAATTTTAGCCTCTTCATTTTTACCAGATTGTCTTCCTTGGATTGTTAAAGCTGTACTTGGCCTTTCAGCTACCATGTGCTTTAGCTATTTGTACTCACCTGCTCTCAGGCGAATAAGGAGGCCATTGTTGAACACAAATCCTGACATACATCCTTAGTAATGGATTTGGGGGTTAGGCTGGAAATAATCATGGGGCAGATGCCCCCTCATACATGCAGGTGGCATCACTTAAAGTGGATGTCAAGTTATATTTATGCTCCCCATTGGCAAAAGTATTCTTTCTACTTATGCCTTGTTAAAACTTCTTTAAAATGCTTGCTATCTAACCAATGGGGGGGGGCGAAAAAATGGGCCAGTCAAGCCGGGTACACTACACTGAGTCTTCAATTGTATTTAATTCCTCTCAGTAAGCACGCATCTCCAAGCACCATGCTGTAAATTCAAATGCAAAAAAAAAAAAAGATGCTACCCCTTATTATAGCTACAGTTGCCAACAACACACACATGCATAATACAGTAGAAATGTATTTCATTTATACAATATGCGACAAATGTTCACAACATATGCTCCAAGCTAAACAAGCACTTTAAATTGTGAACTTCTAGAATTCTAGTTCAAGTGCTTCTACCACCGTTGAAAAGATAGAATGTTTCCTGGAATGCAATAGTGTTTTCCAAACTTAATATCCTCTGACTGTTATCCAATTATGGTACCAGACTTTTAGAATGTCTTTAGTGTGGTGGTATAGTGTGTTGAGAGTGGAGAGATGCACCAATGTAGAGTATCTCATCATGGACATTCCCATTTGTTCTTGGCTATTAATCTTTTCCATATTTACATTCCAACCAATGATTTTTAGGAGTTTCCTGTTGAAAAGTTAATGATTATATCCTTTAGAAATGTACCCTGGTGCAGGTTTTAACCCTCAGGTCCCAGTTGAGATAGCTTTGTGAAGATGGTACATGCACAGCTCAGTGGTTAACTCAGTCCCCCAACCACTTCCAAGCTGTATAATTTGTGGCATGTTCCTTAACTTTGCTGTGATTTTTCCTTTTACATGGAGAGAACATGCTTCTGAAGACAGTTTTGAAGATTAACTGTGTTTAAGATATGTTGAAATACTTAGCATCCTATTTTACTGTTCATAATAAGCTTTCAGTAAATATTAGCTCATACTGTAGTTAGTGACTGTTTCATTTGGAACATGACCAATACAGGATGAATCATTGATGACAGGCATAAACACTAGAGAAAGTTAGCTTACTGTGGTTATTACACACTGAGTCTAGGATGTCATCTGAAGTGTCCCAAAAAAGGAAATTCTTTTAATGGGTAATGTCTACTATCTACATTTCGGGACTTTCTTATTGATTAAGTATGTAGTTTGGCTCAAGGAATCTATTACCTTGTTTTAGTCAACTCACATTGTTTTGTTGTCTGGATAATTCAGTTTCACTCACCTAACCCTTCTGTGGAAGGGTCCATCACTTCTCATGCCCCACCATACAGTAAAACCAAGTGCTACAGAGATGGGCACTAGAGTGAATCCAATCAGTCTCCTTCCCCATCGGTCTTCGAACTTGATCCCACTGAAAGCATTTCCCTTCCTCCTTTAAGGGTGTGACTGTTACATGTGTGCGCCTGTGAGCTTCCAGACACCACGTGTCTCCAATTGAGAAGGGATGACCGTGCGGCTGGAGTGAAGTACCTGCCAGCCAACAAACACAAGCCACTAGCAGAAATCCTGTCCTAGAACTGCCAGAAAGAATACAGACTGGCCAATACTTTGACTTGCAGAACTCAGGTACAGCAAGATTCTGCCTTTCTGACCCACTCAGTTTAGAACAGAGCGGCCAACAGTAGCTGAGAACTGAGCAATCTTTTCAACATCCTCAGTGACGTGCACTATCCTTAGAGACCTCAATGTTCCACTGTTTTTCCAAAGCAGTTGATGATATGATCTAAACCTTGGCTCTGTTTCTTATAGTTCTCACAGAAAACTTCTTTGATTTCCTACCAGTGTGGTGACTGAGTTCTGAGAGAAAAGGTCCCAATTGGCCTGGAAGCAGAGGCCCACCATTTTCTTAAAGCCTGGCCAACAAGCTGATACATCACAGATGAACTCACAGGTCATCGGTCTCCTGCCTGGAGAGACTGACTTGGAGGGGTAGTTATCATTTGTCTCTACCTTGTGCCAGAGTAATCTAAGTCCTGGTGATATATCAAGTAACAAGACAAAAATTCCTGCCTTCGTGATATTTTTGATTTTTATGAATGGAAAAATAGACAAGTAGGTTACATATGTAAAGCACAGAGATGAAAACTCCCAGAAGAGAAATGGGTAGTAGGCATTATGGCTATAGGCTGCTGAGAAGCCAACGTGTGAGCAAAGCATGAGAGAGATGAAGGAGAATATAAGATGAAGGAGACAGTGACACCAAGACTCTACAGCAGTTAGAATAGATGGAGTGGAAGGTAGGATGGGCAGAGGAGGAAGGCTCATTGTGGCAGAAGCAAATGGAGAACTGTAACAATTGCAGCCAGAGCGAGATGAGAAATCACCGCAGGTTAGGCAGAGAGGCCAAGTGATCACATCCCTACCTCTTGCTGGCACAGACCAATGGAAATAAGAGCCAGAGATGTGGCAGAGCAGCCTGGAGGGAATGAGAACAGTGAAGCCGAAAACGAAGGATGGTGTGGAGCATGGCAGTGGCAGCAGGTGAAATGAGAAGTGGATGGATTTAAATATAGAATTAACAGGATTTGCAAGTGTGATGGAGAGGCAAGTTGTGCAAAGTCCACAATACACTAAGTCCAAATTCGACCTGGATGTTCTTATAGCAGGAAGATGTCTGTGCAATCAAGAATTTCAGGTCTTACTTCTATACCTGGACTGTCTGATCACCTAGAGCGTATTTCACAATCTTAGGCCCAAACCTGCTGGCTCAGGAGTCCACTGTACATGTGCAGTATTGTGTAACACTTATAACATTGAGAATACCTCATCCATTAGCTGCAGCCCCAGCTCTGTGGTTCCAGATAGACTATTATGTCTCTTCAGCTTGCATCCTGGTGAGCATGCTCTGGAAGTAGGATGTGCTTGGATATCTTGCAACATTATTTATCAGGAATCATTTTAGTGGGGATAGGAAGAAATGTGATTTTTCCTAAAATTTAGAAAAAGAGCTGGGAAAGAAATCATGAAAATAGTACCCTTCACATTAGCCACAAACAATATAAAATATCTTGGGGGTAACTCTAACCAAACTAGTGAGAGACCAGTATGGCAAGAAGGTCAAATCATTGAAGAAAGAAATTGGAGAAGATATTAGAAGATGGAAAGATCTCCCATTCTCACAGATTAATATAGTAAAAGTGGCCATCTTGCCAAAAGAAATCTATAGATTCAATGCAATTCCCATCAAACTTCCAACACAATTCTTTACAGACCTTGAAAGAAAAATACTCAACTGCATATGGAAAAACAAAAACCCAGGATTGAAAAAAAATCCTATACAATAAAGGGACTTTCAGAGGCCTCACCATCCCTGATTTCAAGTTCTGCTACAGAGCTATAGTAATAAAAGCAGCATGGTGCTGGCATTAAAGCAGATAGGTGGATCAGTGGAATCAAATGAAAGACCCTGACATAAATGCATACACTTATGAATACCTGATTTTTGACAATGGTAAAAAGAAAGCATCTTCAACAAATAGTGCTGGCATAACTAGATGTCAACATGTACAAGAATGCAAATAGATCCACATCTATCACTCGGCACAAAACTCAAGCACAAGTGGATTAAAGAGCTCAACATAAATCCAGTTACACTGAATCAGAAGAGAAAGTGGGACAGAACCTTGAATGCACTGGCATAGGAGACAACTTCTTTGAATATAAAACCAGTAGAACAGACACTAAGATCAACAATAAATGGAACCTCATGAAACTGAAAAGCTTCTGTAAGACAAAGGACACTGTCAGGAAGACAAAATGGCAGCCTAGAGAATGGGAAAAGATCTTCAATAACCCCACATCTGACAAAGGACTAATCTCCAAAATATATAAAGAATCCAAGAAACTAGGCATCAACAAACCCAAATAATCCAGTTAAAATGGGGTATAAATCTAAACAGAGTTCTCAAGAAAAGAATCTCAAATGACTGAGAGACACTTAAAGAATCGTTCAACATAATTAGTCATCTGTAGCAGGCTTTTTTGGACTTCCAGGCCCTAAACTATGACATAGAGACTAATTATTTAGTATGAATGTTTGGCCTTAGCTT